CCGCCACCTTAGGTGTACGTGGCTGGCGCCTTAGCCGGTTGAGCTATAGGCGCCAAGCCCCGTGGCTGGGTTTGAACCCACCACCCTCATCATATGGGGCCGGCGCCCTACTCCTTGAGCCACAGGCACCACCTCTCTCATTAATTTTTATTTCTCCATCCCATTGTCTAGCTCCACTCTTCTCTGTGCCGTTCTTACCCTTGACTTAATTCTTCTTTGCTCTTGGCTTATTATTTTGCTGTGTGTCTTCCCAATTAAAATCACAGCACCATGGAGGCAAGGATTTTGCTTTGTTCACTGCTGTATCCCAGAGCCAAAAAGAAATCCTGGCCTATACCAGGCACAGTGGCTTATGCTTATAATCCTAGCACCCCAGGAGGCTGAGGCAGGAAGATCACTTGAGGTCAGGAGTTTGTGATCAGCCTGAGTAAGAGCTGTCTCTACTAAAGACAGAAAAACAGCTGCTTTTGCGGGTGTGGTACCTCTAAGTCACAGCTACTCAGAAAGCTGAAGCAGGAGGCCCAGGAGTGTAAGGTTGCTATGAGGTAGGCTGATGCTATAACACTCTACCCAAGGTGACAAGGTAAGACTCTGTCTCAAAAAAAAAGAAAAAGGAAAAAGAAATCCTGGCCTGTAATAGATGCTTATGAAGTATTGTTGAGTGAATAAACTAAGGGATGAATGAAGGAATAAGTTCATGAGGCCACCGCTTATCACCACTGCCAGGTTACATAGACCATGCTGATGTGACCATGTAGCTCTTCTGGTCTTCCCTTAGAAACTTGTGATAGTTTGGCACCTTAAACTTCTCTAGCCCTCCTCTCCAGGAAAATCCACACCAAAGCACAGGACAATCTCTCAGATTCGCGCACCCTGCCATAGACTGCACTGTACCTGTGTACACGTTCTCTGTGCTTCTGTGGGAGAAATGCACTGAAATGACTGCAACTAGGATTGTTCTGGCCTTGCTACATCAGCACATGCCACATGCCACATGCTTCTGCTGAACAGAGAAAGACATCACCAGCAGACCTGCTGGGAGCCCAGCAAGAACTTCTGCCTCTGGCTCGGTGCCCGCCTATAGCTCAACCGGCTAAGGCGCCAGCCACGTACACCTAAGGTGGCGGGTTCAAATCCCCAGCCCAGACCCCCCAAACAACAATGACGGCTGCAACCAAAAAATAGCCGGGCGTTGTGGCGGGCGCCTGTGGTCCCAGCTACTTGGGAGGCGGAGGCAGGAGACTCGCTTGAGCCCAGGAGTTAGAGGTTGCTGTGAGCTGTAATGCCACAGCACTCTACCCAGGGGGACAGCTTGAGGCTCTGTCTCAAGAAAAAAGAACTTCTGCCTCCATGGGAAAGCTCTGATGGGCAGCTTCCTCCTCACTGACAATGCCTCCTTTTAAAGTAGTTCATGTTCACGGTGATTGATCTAATGTGATGGATCTTTCACTTGGTCTGTGGTTTCAACTATCTGCATATATTTGAAGGTTTTATCTTTTTTATTTGATCTTTCCCCCTAGACATTAATTCCATAGGAAAGAAAAATATAGATGTTAACATTTTTACTTGGGGGAATTTGGCTATGCAAACTCATGCTCCCACTGTATTTCCATACAGATAATATTGTAATCTTTTCTGAAATAGAAAAATGGATAACCTAAGTGCACCCTTATAAGGAGCTGGGTAACATGCTGTAAACCTCACCTATTGATGGCAGATTGGTATCACCAGTTTTACATGCAAAGAAAGGCCCACACCTTCTCTTCTCTTTTCAACACCCCAGATGTCCTGCTCTTGCTTTTATTTTTATTTTTTTTAGAGAGGCACAATAGGATGTTTGGGAGAATTTTGTGTCATATTGACCCAGTATATAAGCCTCTCTATTCTTTCTTACAAAGCTAATTCACATAAAAGATAAAGCCAGTCCCGAGTAAGGCTCTTGGACTAAAACAATGAAAAGCACATAGTAATAACCCAAATGGAGAATCCTAGATGGAAAGACCAGAAATGACCTTAGAGGTCAGCTGGTCCAAGCCTTGTCATTTCACAGAATAATTCCAGTTAAAATACCAAGAAAAAGAGTCATCCCAGTACAACATCACCCTGACATTCAGTGAGGCTGCCTCCCTGCTATACCTGTGCTCAGCTCTAGGTGCCACTCTGCTGCTGTTTATAGACCAGCTTCTCTTTACTGTGCATGAGGAAATGAAAATGAACCTCCTAATTTGAGTTCCATTCTGCAAATGCTGTGTTTCTAAAATCATGCTCTGCTAACGTATTGTATGTTACATGGAGCCAGCTTCATTTCAATGATACAGGTGTGACCTGTCTAACCACTGACAGCCACCCTGGAAAGAAGTGAACTATACATGCATGTAAGGGTTAACAACTATATTACAGCACATTCAAGTGAAACTGCATCTTAGAAGGAGGCGCCTAGCGACCTTGCTGATTAAGAAAAACGATACAAAAGACCAGAGGCGATTTAACACGTGCACACATTCCAAAGAAATTTGCTCATATCACTCTCCACCTTCTTCCTACTTCATCCTCACAATACTAGCCTGTCACAAACCAGGACTACATACATAACCAAATCTAGAAGTACCCCTCATTCCCCCACTAACTGAACCTATAAAACCCCCTACCTATTACAATAAACAACTTTGGCTCAGTCCCTTTCCCAATGTGTCTGTCTTTGTCTTATTTGTCTTCCCCTTTCATACGCCGACTCCCCAACCCACCGCTGCCTGCCGGTAGGGAGGCAGCACATGCATGCTAGGGAAAGGCTACCCCACAGTTAAATTTTTTCAAATTGTCCTAATCCAAATATTTGCTTAAACTCTGCTTTTATAGTATGTGCAATACAAGGGGAATGACATTGTTAACTGTGTGTTTCCTGGAATTGCCTGACTACTACAAGGCCATAGGTAAAGTTTGTTTAGAGAAAAACAAAGTATGTAAAAAATGTTTAGCACTGTCCTATTTGGTGTTTAATATCCCACACACACTGAGTGGGAGAAAGAACAGCCTTTGAGAACCTTTCTTTCTCCCGTGTAACAGAGGATGGAAATGCTTTCACCCCATCTAGTGACAGATGAGTCATTTCTTAGATTAGTTCAGTTGTTTGAAGTTTGAGTGATGATTCAAAAGGGAGAAACAGGTCATGCCTAAAGAAGTTTAGAGGAACTAAGAGGGCAAATTTCCAATTCACTTTTAAGTCCTAAAGGATAAAAAATCCAAGTATGAGTCCTCGATATCATTATTTGGTTCTTTAAATTTGGTATAAACTAAGCATGAACATTCGAATTGTACAAATGTCATAATTATCTAATGCTGAATTGAAAGTCTGCAGGATATATGTTAACAAAACAAAGCCTAGTGTCTAGTGTATTGTTGCCAAACGTGTTTTCAGTTTGGGTTGTTTAATAGTAGCTATTTATAATAAAAAATAATCAAATAATGATGTTAATAACAGTTTTAGGTTTTTAGCAGAAGGACAAGGGGAAGACTGAAGCTCAGAGTGGCAGCATCTTTGTCACCTGTGGAGCTTAGAGTAATGTTGCAGAGTTATCTGCTCGAATCCACAGCATGGTCCCTCCATTCCAGCGCTAAAGGGTGAGCTTCTAATTTTCATAGTTTTGACACTGGGCTGAAAAAACAAAGTACTTGGCTGAAGTTTGACTTTCTTACAAAGTGTTCTTCTCAGTGCTTTCCCTGGCATTAATACAGCCCTTCTTTTCCAGGGATTTAAGTCCTTTATATCTTTTAAAAATAAAAGTATGCTTTGTGCTTTTGAAGCCATATTCACTGAAGATACATACGTACATGTATATACATACACATACATATATACTATACATATACACACATATATACATGTATACTCCATATACACACATACATATATATGTATTTATACATATATATTTTTAATTTTTCAATTTATTTTAGAGACAAAGTCTCATTCTGCACTCCCAGGCTGGAGTGCAGTGTCATGATCACAGCTCACTATAATCTCAAATTCCTGCATTCAGGTGATCCTCCAGCCTCAGCCTTCTGAGTACACACCAACACAGAAAGGCAGCTAATAAAAATTTTTTTTTGTCAAGATGGTCTCAAAATCTGGCCCTTAAAGGATCCTCTGCCCTCCACCTCCCAAAGTGCTAGGTGTGAGCCACCACACCTGGTCCCAGTTAGGAGATTCAAAAGCAGAGGAAACTGTATGTTTTCTCCTAATTTTTTTGTTACAGAAGGTCCTTTTTCTGTCCCTGGGAGCCTCAGCAATAATGTTATTGATGTGGTGTCTGCTAGTATTTTTGTGCTTCTTTGTTATGGCTCATGTCAAAGCTGGGCAACTTTTCAAAAGTGATAGCTCAAAATCCTGTTTTTGTAGACTTGAGATCAGAGGTAGTGCAGTTATGTGTTAAGTGGATTGGAAAGGGGAATAATTTTTATAAGTGTTCCTTTTGGGGATAGTGAAAGCCAAGAAGGAGAGAAACATTGTAGCCAACACTGAAGGTGTTTCTGACTTCTCAGTCAAGCCCACTTCTGTGTGTGTGGGGCGTCTGCAGCAGGTGCGTGGGAAGTGAGAGAGAATAAGAGCTATGAAAATGCACTTACCCTTCACACACAGACATGCATTCATCAGCTGACAGATACTTCCCTTTTGTTTTTCTTAATACTCAAATTACTAAAATTATAAAACATACTTTCTAACATAACCACCTAATCTTTTCCATTCCTTTCTATCCTCTAAGCAGATTTCATTTCCATAATTGTAAAGAGGTTGAACATAGGTTCTGCTCCTGCTTAAAAGTCACTTCCAGTGTAGCTCAGCAGCTCTTACTTTTCAAATTTGTTCCCAGAGTAAGCCAAGAATCTCTACCAAGAGCAAAATAAAAGCCAAACTCCTATCCTTTTGCCCCATTTCCTGTTTTATTATTCTGTTTTTTAATAACACATTTTGTGAATATTGAAATGGGAGCATGTTCTACATACGGAGACAAGCTATGCACATCTTACACAGTGGTCATCCCCAGAAGACAGCCATTTCAGGCCACATACAATTTACCTTTTTCCAACTAGAAAACACTATAAAACCCTACTATATTAAGGTGACCAGATTTTAACATTGGTAAAGCGGGACACCATTGACCAGGGTGGGGGGGGGTTCTTAATTAAAAATTTGGTCTATATGGAGCAACAAAAATTTTCATAGAATGCAAAAATAGTATTGTAATATATATATTTTTAATTTCAACATAAGTACAATTTACAAATATAATACATTAAAAAAAATTATGTATAGGGCGGTGCCTGTGGCTCAAAGAACTCACCACCATATGCCAAAGGTGGTGGGTTCAAACCCAGCCCTGGCCAAAAAAACCCAAAAAACCAAAAAAATTATGTATAGTATTATTTTATTCTTTGGTATATTTCTCATTTGAGTGAATTTTTTTTAGTAGATTGCTGTCATTGTTTAAAAGGTCATGAAATTTTTCACAAGAATTTGTTAATTTATATTTCACACATAAAATGGCTCTTAAAGTCTCAACACTTAATTGTGATTTTTCTGATGTCCACACTTTATTTACTGTAGAAAAAAACGTGTTCAGTCGCAGCATTAGTTCCTGGTAAGGACAATGCGTATCCCACAATTTTTAGTGCATTATTGTATGGAACATGGTTTGTTTCAAAATGATGAAATATTTCTAAACATTTGTTCTCTATTGTGATTTTTGCTGATGCCCAAGAGTTAACCTTTTCCTTATCAATATACTTTTTTAATAATAATACCTTGTCAGTGATAAGTGTGACTTTAAAGGCTGGTGTTAGACTTTTTGCCGCCACTATAAAATATAAATAATACGAGTACTATCTGCCAAATTCATGAAATAAATAAATAAATTACTTACCTAAATTATCTGAATAGCTGATTTGTTGACATCACTTGTTTAACTAGCAGTAGCATGCAGTTCTATGTCTATCATCTGAGAGACAGTTAGAAAATGTTTTTGTGGTTGCCAATGCCAAAAAATACCATTGTTCATTAAGTCCAAACAATGGTGGTTGAATTCTAACAACTGATCAACAATGCGAACTTTGATAAGCAGTTCTCGATAATCAGTTCTGAACAGTTATTTGTTATTATTAAATTTTAACATTATAAAATTAACAAAAATAATATAAAACTCATATCCTGGCGAAATAGCCACATGGCAGTGTTGGGACCAGAATTGCCAGTGAGAGACCACCACACACATGTAAAAACAAAAAGTGCTTTATTTTGCAAGCATATGCCTGGGCCACTCTTCCCTTCAGTGTGGCTGGAGGAAGGGCAACCCCCTAGTGAAGGGAGCTGAGGTTTTTAAAGCGCATAGAGGAATTTCATGAGGTGTTTTGTCAGGCTGGGCTGCTATTGGCTGAACTGTTTATGGTTAGGGACCCTGGGGTGGGGGTGGGGGGCGCTACTTGTTTGTTCCAGACACTTTGGCTCCTTCTGAGCTAATTGTCCTTGCCTAGAAGCGAGGGAGGGAGCCAGTCTCCTTCTGAGAGATTGACCTGGGAGACCTTGCCCAGGAGGGGAGTAGGGAGTTTGCATTAGTCTTTTCATTTCCAAATGAAGTTACAATAACCTCTTCATTCCCAAATGGAGTTACATTAACCTTTTCAGCAGCTGAAAACCATATATACCCTTCCCATTCTCCCTCCCTTCCCTAGCTTGTCCTGCATTCTTTCCAAACATCAGGACTTTTTAAAAACACGGATGTGGGACAAATTGTTAAAAATTGGGACTGTCCCGCCAAAAGCGGGACGTCTGGTCACTTTATACTATATGTCACTTCAGGGCCAATAACAAACTGATACAGGACAGGTCGTGCCCCAGCCAGCTCAGCTGCCGCCTCTGCCTTGGCAGTGTTGGTGCAGTGGCAGCTGGCAGAGTAACCAGCAGGCTAAAGGGTACGCAAGAGGGAGCCTCCCATCCCCACTGCAGCCTCCAGTAGCCAAAGGGGCAGACAACTGCTGGGGAGACACCGGCATTTGGTGTCTCCTTCCCTTTGCACTTATGACTAAATATGGAACCCCAGTTTCCTATGCCTAGGTCAATTTCCTAGGCCTCAATCCCGTGAATGGACTGTGTCCATTCATTAACCTTGCAGAAAAGACTGTGTCCATTCATTAATGCATTCATTCACCTTGCCCCAGTGGAAGGGACTGTGTCCATTCATTTCCTGGCCTCATATAGAAGGAACCCCTGCACCTATATATAGCCTGAGACAGAGAGAGACAGAAGAGAGACAGAGAGAGCTTTTCTCTCACTATTTGGGTTTTCTCTCCCTACTGGAAACTTTAGTGGTTTTGTATTCTTTTCTGTAAATAAATTCTGTCTTACCACTGATCTGTGGTCTGTGGATTTATTCTTCAAATCACTGAGACCAAGAACCTGAAACTCCAGTATCAAAGCCATGGGCTTTTAATACCCAAAGCAGCCTCAGAGCTGGCCAGGCTGAAGCCTGGTACAATGTCCAGAGGACACGGCTTGAGAGCAGACCTTGTCACCACAGGCACTTCTACAAAGCATATGACAGTCCAGCAGTATTGAAGTTCTAGAAATTTTTGCTAAGCCCACACACACTGTGAAGAATTAGTTTTATGCATCAATAAGAATGATAATGATAATAAAACATTTGCCAAAAGTCTATTTAATTTGACCTCAGGCTAGGAAGACAATAGTGTGTGTATATTTAAGCTAGTTCAGAGACCATATATAGGTTTGTCAAATTAAAGAAGTATTTACAACATAAATTTAGTCTCATTTTTTGAAAACCATAATTATTTCAGTTGGGTCAATCTTGGTGCTCCATTTTCTTAGAAGAAAGATTTGCAAAATTGTTTTGTACTTGTAGTGAGCAAAGCCTTCCTTTTAATACCCACCTTATAGTGACTTAGGAAGGAAAGCGGGACAGGTTCTCTGTAGCTGAACACAGTGTTTGTAAATAGTAGGCACTCCTAAAGCACAAGGGAGGCGTTCCATGAAAACTCTAGTTCTCTAAGCTGTACCATTTTCTCTGACTTTATTCTGCCTGCAGGATTGAGGCCCACTTTCAGGAGAATGGCCCAGTGTCCCTGGAGTCTGCAGTCCGCAATGCAGGCCGAGTGGCCATTTTCTCCAGCTGTCTCTGGGCAGCCCTGTGCCCTGGCGATGGAGGTGTTTCCTGCTGGAGCTCATTTGTGGTCACAGCGTGGTATAGCCTGTTATCTTTGGACCAAGCCACTGGCCTTGACAGACTTTTTCCCCAAGGGACCCTCAGCCTCATACAGATTCAGCTGGCTTGTCTGAATTTGGGACAGCACAGGCTAGCTGGGGGCCTTCAGTCACACAGGGGGAAGGCATCACTTTTAGTCAGCCCCCAACTACTGTGAGCTCAGCCCTGAAATACAGGAAGGAGGCATCTGGGGAAAGAGTAAAGGAGAAAAGAAAGGATAAAAGAAGTCAGTGGGGCTCGGCGCCTGTGGCTCAAGTGGCTAAGGCGCCAGCCACATACACCCAAGGTGGCGGGTTCAAATCCCCAGCCCGGGCCTGCCAAACAACAATGATGGCTGCAACCAAAAAATGGCCAGGCGTTTTTGGCGGGTGCCTGTAGTCCCAGCTACTTGGGAGGCTGAGGCAGGAGACTTGCTTGAGCCCAGGAGTTGGAGGTTGCTGTGAGCGTGATGCCATGGCACTCTACCCAGGGGGACAGCTTGAGGCTCCATCTCAAAAAAAAAAAAAAAAAAAAGAAGTCAGTGGGAAAAGGATTAGAAATAAAACCCCTAAAGGGCATGTTTCCTGCTGATAAGGAGTTTATTATCTACTTGATTATAATAACTCATAGCTGAATACTCTATAAACTTCATGATGAGATGACTGAATCAGAGGACAGGTATGGAGGGCATATGGAGGGCAAGCAGTCAGCCCATGGTAATCAATCCAACTGGCAAACTCCTTGTAGATGTCATTGTAAGAAATGCTTTCTCCTTCCAGGACCAAATCCAAGCTCATGGTTTAGTAAAAGGAAGTAGAAAATCTCTTCTATCCATCAACCTCAAATTCAATTGTGGCCTAGACTTCAGAATAAAAAAACAAACAAACAAACAATTTAGCTCTAAATATTTTAAGGTCCTTATAAGATATTTTCCCATTAATACTCTTACAGAAGAGGAAATTACAAGTTTAGGGAAATTGCACAAGGCTTCACCTTGTTAATAGATCTAAATGTTGGGTCGAGAGAAGTGCATGAGCTCCAAGTACCATCAGCCACGGTGCTGCTCCCCTGGCATTGAGGGTGTCTCCAAAATTCCCTGGCATGAGAATCCCTCCCCACTTTCCTACCCTACATACCCAATGCATTTGAGCCAGTAAAGGCACATGTATACAGGTAATACATCTTGCCACTTGAATGTAGACTGGGGATATTACTAACTTTGTCCCAGGTGTTGATACAGGACAAGCGGTGTCCCAGCCAGCTCGTGGAGCTGGGGGGTGGGGGCCAGACTGGCTGCCTCTGCCTTGGTGGTGTTGATACAGTGGCAGTGAGCAGAGGAACCTGTGGGCTGGAAGGTAAGCAGGGGGGCCCTGCAGGAGGCTCCAGTAGCCAGAGGGGCCAGGGAACTGCTGGGGAGACACCATCACCTTAGGTTTCCTTCCCCTTGCACTTAGGGCTGAACAGGGAACCCCTACTTTCTAGGCCTGGTAAATTTCATGTAAGTTTCCTACACCTGGGAATGAAAGGCATTGTAGCCATTCATTCATGTCCCAGACATGCTAATATGTAACTACTGAGTGTCCCAGATACATTGCAGACGGTCCCTGACACCCTAAACATAACTACCAACATGCTAAATGTAACTACCGATCCCCACTAAATGTAACTACAGAGGGCCCCATGTGACTATATATACCCCTAGACAAAGAGCCTGGAGACAGACAGACAGACAGAGAAGGGAGAGAGAGCACTTTTCTCTCTTGAGAATTTTCTTGCTCTGCCAGGAGCTCTGGCGTTTCTGTATTCTTTTCTGTAAATAAATCCTGTCTTACCACTGATCTGTGGTCTGCGGATTCATTCTTCGAATCACAGAGACCAAGAACCTACTGAAGACAAAATTCCAGTATCAATGTGACAGCCCCGGTGGCAGTGTCTACCCTCATAGCAGCAGGCCATGCTTTTGGAAGCCACTGAGCTCACAGTCACCAAGGCTTTCCTGTCTTTTATTGTAATTAATATCAAGTCATGTTAAAACAGTTAACTCACATCTTGTATGTGTGGGGCTGATTTGTCACACTTAAAACTGTTACTGCTTAAATTCTTGGTAATTTTAACCCACTCTCTAGTACAATTGAAATCCCTGTGATAGATTCCCTTGCTTTTCATCTGCAAATTTAATAAACATGCATCTTTAATTTCCATCTAAGTTATTAGATGAAGGTGCATAGAGTCCCAAGCCATTTACTAAAGGTTGATATTCACACATCATTTGGACATATTTACTCAACTGATTTATGTTCCACATAATAAAATAACCAGAAATACCATGTATATGTATTATATTGATTTAGCAGTCCAGTAGGTCTCTACAAACCTTGCATCTGGTTTATGATGACTAATTACCAAGAAACTTGTTGGGTCACTGTGATTCTTCATCTTAGAAGAATAATAGCATTCACGAAGTTTTCTGTTTGTAAAAGTAATGTGTCTCTTTGTAGACAAGTTTGTTAGATGTCAAAAGGTGGCAAGATGGTGGAGTAGTTAATAGCAGAGATTTATTAGGAGCACCTGCAAGCAGATGGGCTGCCACCGAAAATGGAAAATACCCACAGCTCCACATCAGGGTGAGGAGACGCTCTTAAAGTAGTTCAGGGTGTGGCAGACCTCCACCTATAGCTCAGGAGCTAGCCGCGTGTCAGTCACAGCTCAGAAACTCAGAGTCCGGTGGGAGAGAGCAACAGGTCATCTGCTGGAGGCCTTGTGAAAGGCGGGAGGGTCATCTACTAGAAATGTTCTGTACCTGGAAGGTCTGTTTTAACAGAACCAGAAAAGCAAGGCGAATTCTAGTTGTTGCTTACACAATGTCCAGACCCACTGTAGCCAGAGAAAGACTGACACAGTCCTTTAAATAAATGTATAAAGAAGACAACAAAAGCCACAGGACGCTCACTTCCCGCCACTGCCGACATGTTCTGGCTCATTTCTGCGCAGCTTCCTCCCCATCTTAGATCTCCTCTGCTCCACTCCCACCACCTTACAGAGTCCCCAAACTGTTCACTCTGTGCCTTCCCTGGCCCCAGCTCAAACACTGAGAGAATATGGATATGACAAACTGGAAAATAAAGTGACAGAATTCTGAGCTTGAATGTCAAAACCTGTAACACTGATTTTAAAATAGAAACATTGACACACATACTTGTACAGTGTCTGTCCTTGAACAGGTCAGAGGAAGTCAAGGAAGTATGGGGTGCAGACCAAGGTCAGGAGAACACAGCTGCAGCCACTTCAAGTACTGTCTGTCATCTCTACCAGGAAGCTACATGGAGGTCCAGCCAGGGCCCAGGTGTCACGGTGCTGTCAGTAGAGGTCATCAGACAATAATGTCAATAAATTGTCTTGCATTATTACTCTCCTGTGCCTAAGGCTTTGACGCACTTGACAGCCCTCATTTCAATATTCTCAGATACCACCATAGCAAGAGATAACTCAACTTCTGCTCAAAGTCCCACCTGCACTGAATGACTCTGAGGCCCAAGTAAAATCACTGTCATCTCCCTCCCAAGCCTATACCATGTATATTGAGAAGTCTCTGTGTGCTTGTGGATCTGAGGCTCCAGCAACGTAAGTGCCTTTTCTCTGCCAAAGTGAGGTGCTGCCACCACCTCCAGGGACTGGAGACCTCCCAAAGCCCTCTGATCTCCCTGCCAAGGTCCCACACCCTGAGATCAAGCTCTCTCACGCTCCTTCTTGATGCCCTGAGGTCTCCTGGGGCCTGATGCTCATCAGTAGACTGCTCTGTCAATTCCCAAACAGCTTTTCCTCCTCAGGAACACCCAAAGCTTGGATAGATTCCCCATGGTCCTTAAACTAGACACCTGTGGTTCTGAGGGCACGTAGTGATGCCCCAGGGGGATGTCCCGTCCCAGCACAGGAGGATATTGTCCTGTATCTTGGAGGATATTACCAGAAATACCTTTCATGTAAGGGCAGGGGAAGAGGCACATTAACTTTTTATTAAAAGAATGGAGGCTGTACTGCAGACTAGGATGCAAAATGTAAATAGAAATGAAGAGGGAATATTCAGTTTAAAAGACTTGATTGCACTACATCCCCAAGCCGCACATCCCCACCTTCCCATGTCACTACATCCCCATCCCCACCTTCCCATGTCACTACATCCCCA